CAAGTTGATTGATGATACTGACATAAGGGTCCGTGATATCCGGTGGGACATTCGCATCTGAAATAGTCAGTAATTTTTCACGAATAATTTTATTTTATACACGTGCTTTATCTCTCAAACTTATTTCTGTATAGAATCAACTTTTCACGGACAAATTTTTACATTTTCCCATTTTTTCGGCGATCTTTAATTGCGTGCTTGAAGAACTTGGACTTCCAACTTCCCCAATATTAGTTCCATACTATACAAATCAAATTCAAAAAACTGCTGTGATGAACTGCTGTATAGAAATTTTCTAAGCATGACCAGGAAGTCAACTCTACAATAATTTTTGTTTTTATATACCACTATACTACTATATATGTAATACTAAGAAAAAAGTATTTTATTTTCATTATCCATGAAACTTGTTGATTACCGAATGCTATGACATTTTGTAGCCTCTACTGATAATTCGCAAGTTTTCAATGTTATCTCACCGAAAGCCAGTGTCATGATTTACACAAGTACCATTATGCTGACATCCAGCATGTGTTCCCGAATACATTGCACATTCATCAACATCGATTTCACAGTTGTCACCCTGCAAAGACATAAAATTAGTTATTTTTACACAGTTATACTGTAGATTACGATAATTCAACGATCCTTTCAAGACCAATGCATACGACGCAAGGCGGCGAACGAGTTAATCACTTATCCTCTGCGTCTCTGTCAACATACAGAGTCGCTCAAAGAGATTTTCTATAATATTTTGGAACTCCCCTCAACGACAAAGACGCAGAGGAGGAGGGGAACTCGTCCGCCTGCTCTTTTCGCTTGCTGTCCCGCAGCGAACCTGCGGTAGTTTTGAACGGTATGTCAAGCCGTCTCTAGTGTGCAACGTACCGTACGATAATGTGGGCATAGGCAATTGTATTTTTTGCCAAATCGAGGCAAACAAGTGCCACCGTATTGGCATGGTTTCGATTCGCATCCATCCATTGCTAGCATATCGGCAAGAGCTCTAAAAAAGTAGCTCATTATAGTCGTTGAAAAACTTCTAGCAAAGTTTTTCAGAAAAAACATTCCAGCTTGATTTTTACTTGAGTCTGCTACGATACATGTTTTCGGGAAGATTTCTTTTATGGAAACGCAACAAAGAAGTCCGAAGGGCGTAAAGCGGCGTAGCTTCAGCCACGGATCTTGAAGAAATTTTCGAAAATTTTCGCAAATTCCAAGAAGTATAATCCATAAGTTTTTTAGATAGCGTGGCGGCCATGACCCAAAAAATTTTATCGGGATTAATTCAGAATCTCAAAGCATCTTTCGGACTTACTCGCCCTCAACTTACTTGATACTCTTTTGCAGTCTTCCCATAAACCTTCGCAACCGCACATCTTTCATGGTTTTGTTTTGTTTCCATTCTTGCAGATTTTTCAGCTCGAGTGTGAAGTTTCTCGTCTGAAAATTTATCAGTATCCCCCAATGGCCAATTTGCAAAGATTAAAATTTTCGGAGATCAAACGAAAGCAAAAACTTGCACCCCTACCGAAGAAAGAAGTCGTCTAGATGCTGTAGCAACCAAGATTAAAGTCGACTGATGCGAATCCACACGAGACTTGAAAGTATCTTGCCTTGTAGAGAGAGCTTCGACTTTTTCACGAAGAGCAGTGAATTGAGCCTGAAATGCGAGCATGAATCATTATTGCTGAAAAATTCACTTTGAAGAATTAGTTCACAAAATTGGGAGAAAAGTTTTGGAAAAGGAGCAGAAAGTTGGAAGATTTCAATTGAAGAGTCAAAGTTTATGAAAGCGGAAAATGTTCTGTCTGACAGCAAAACAATCTAAAGAATTTGTATGTTTGATGTTCTCAAAGAGGTGATTTAATTGCATAGATGGATGAAAAAATGTCTGTCCTTAAGAAAATGTTGACTGATTACTATTCAATCAGACTGATGGAATTTTGTCATTATTTTCGTGTCATTTACGCTTTCATCACTCTAATAAGCTGTATAGCGCATGCAAAGTAGATGCCTACGAGTCGTTGCGAGCGTGAAAATCGCTTTGGCGACGCCTATGAGTCGTAGATGCAAGCGTAAGTGCAGCAGGATTTCGTTTATTAATTTTTTCATAAGAAACACATAAAGTTCGCATGGCTATGCGCAACTTCATTAGCTTTGAATACAGTCGGGTCATTTGTAGGTTTATACGCATATTGCACACGATGCGCGCTACTTGACGACTTGTGGAATAAGAAACTGCTCAATTTCTGCGGCTTCACCTTGTTTCCTTGTTTTGTTTGAATTGGATATGTAATCGTCAGTAGTACACATTTCACACTCATCACTCTAGAAGAGATTTTGCCGAGAAGTTATGGTGTCGCGCATAGTGTGCAGAACCACATATTGAGTCAGAAATGACTCGAGATTAAGCTTTTGAGGGATCGACGGATATGATGAGCTGATATCAAGAGATGAAAGATGTTGATAAATTGTGCAAATGCAGCAGTATAAAAGGGTTTTCATCTGAAAGTACTCCTCATTTATACGGACAGATGTCAATGACCAGCACAGATTCAAATGGCGCTTCGACTTCGACAAGCTCAAAGGAAAACCCAGATGACGACTACGAAAAAGGCAAGCGGGTGGGATATCTTCTCGCCTTTCAACTCTATATGGTAGCCGAAAAAGCGTCATTTTAGATTTTCAAGAAAAGATGTGCCAGATGTCACACGATCACTCAGACCCGCTCGCACGTTGGCCCACCTCTGAATGGTGTCATGGGTCGGTTATTTGGTACCGTTCCCGGCTACCCTTACTCACCAAGCGCTCGCCGTTATGTAAGGATTCAGATATATTATTCAGAGTTTGATATCTCATATTCGAACGAAATTATGCCATTTTTAGCCCGTGGTATGGAATCGAGAAACGTTAAACGAATTTCTGGCCAACCCGAGGAAATATATCCCAGGCACGAAGATGTGGTTTCGAGGAGTCAGAAAGCCAGCCGAACGTGATTA